TCTGCTCTAATGCGCTAATGCGATCTAATGTCCATTTAACGCACCATTTGAGCATAGCATTCGTTTATATGTCATGCACCACTCTAAGAATCATCAGCCATACTAATTATGAGTTGTAAATGAGTTCTATAGCTTTAGAACACTCGATTAGTACTATTATAAGTACGCTAATTGTGTTTTGCACGTTCCTCGTATCATTAGGTGAAGTATCTGGGCTATGAATTAGGTTCAAAAACAACTATTGATCACAATTACCTGCTTAATCTGTCTACAGTGTTAAAACACGGTTTTACCTAATTCCGCAATTAAACTAAAACTCGATGCCCCAAAAATTCAGGCCCTGTGACCCGGTGGATAGGGATAATATTATTTTTTTCAGGCGATTTTGTAGTAAAAAACTTTTTTTTCTCAAAAGGCCCAGGCCCCAGAGTTCAGACCTTAAGCCCAAGGCTTGAGGCTTCATGAGACCTCTTTCTAGAGATCATTTGCCTTCTCAATTATAAAAATATACAATAAAAAGATGTGACGACAGTAAATTTAAAATAATGACGTATTTGAATAGTTAGTCTGTAAATATCTATATATAAGACATTTTTATTTTATTTTACACAGATATTGAAAGTGTCTCTACAATCTACATATGGATATTTGTAAAAACTCCCCTCTAAAAAAAGTTTGTGCAGTACAAACTATACAAATACAACCTGTAGTGACTGTACTAAAAAATTAAAAATCTCCGTGTATGTATGGGAATGTCATATAACTTCAAAAGATAACACAACCCTGCGAGGGTAAACAAGGAATAGCTCTCCGTGTACAAACATGTATAGAACTGATTTTGATTCTAATCGCAATATCTCTCCAACGTAGTTTTAGCGTAGAAGTTCTTCATATTGAACCTGCGAACCTCGTTCCTGTTCTGCTGCACAAAAGCGCCGAGGTTAATGAAGTAAATTTCTACGGAGACATAACCCATATCCGACACGTACTATTATTGTTGAAAATACATAAGCCGTCAATACTATGTTATGTAGACATCAACTTTTAAAACAGCAATTCTAAATTTATTTGGTTCAGCAGAGACGTAATTGCCGCAGAATCTGGCTATACTCCAATACAGTAGATATTTTTCTTTTATCCGGTGCTGACGGGGGCGTGGTATATTGAAACTGATGTTCCGAAGTGTGCATCACTGTGTCCACCAATATCGTCGGAGTCGTACACACTGACCTTGGTGCTAAAAGCGTGTTGCTCATATTTGAACCGCAACAGAACGAGCTTCCATCACAGCGGTTGTGTGGCTTGTTGATAGGGCCTTCTATCCAACTGGAGACTACAAAATCCTGACTTAGAAGCGTCTCAAGCTCGTTGTATTTCGCCAGTGGTAGTAACAGATCAAACCCAAGCAAATGAAGAACTTGTCGCTCTAGCTGATTCAACTCTCCCATTTTCATATTCGCCAGTCGTGCCCATTCTAGATTGCTTCTTCGGCCATTTTCTTGTACGAACTTTGTCGCTATAACAAGACAGGTCACCAATATACACGTTGCGCATGCGTTGTTCTCGATGATGCCTGAATTTGACTCTACCAGCGAAAACATGTAGTGCAGCGCGTGTATCACTGTCGATCGCTCTAAAGTGATATTATATATCCCGTACGGGCTAACTAGATGCTTACAGAAGTCTAGAAATTCGGGAGCCGACATCGCAGCATGATCCGATGAGCAAACACAACTGACAGAGTTACACCTCAAAAGGAATAACGATAGTAAGCGCGCGTCGATGTAATTCCTTAGCGCAATACTCTCTACCTGCTGTAATGATTGCACAGCATACTGGGGTTGCTGGTAATACATGTTTTATATATGATATTAAAAAAATAATGGTTTGATAGTCGTTATGAGTTACGTTCGTACATGTATGTTATACTTATTTGTAGAAGTCTAGTATATTTATGGCGATATCTGAGCGAAACTCGCAAACATATTCAAGTTGTCGATGTTTTAAAAAAGTACTGTGTACAAAAACTGTATTATATATCTTATCATATCATTATTCATTGTATTATTTTGTATATTAAAAATTGGGTTAAAAAAAAAAACAGAAACATAAATTTTTATAAAATTTTTACCCGGGCCCTGTATAAAGGCGAAGTATTTATTTATTTAGTTCCGAGTGTTCATAAATATTTACTTCATCAGTGATCAGTCATTCAGAATTTCAGAGAAGACTGATCTCACAGTACGATTGTGTAAATACCCACAAATCACAAACACAGTTAATCTTCATATTATTATTTTTTTAGTTCATTTTTATGTATTTATTTACTTTAAAAAAATTGTCTGCCTTTGTTCACAATATTGTTTGTTTTAAAATAAAAACAATTTTTCCTTCTTAAAAACCGCAGGGTGATTTCAGATATTGGTTTGTTTTTTAAAAACAAACAAAAACATACATGTATAAAGAAGCTTATTAAAAAAAAACGATTACCCACGGGCCACAGGCCACGGCCCACGGGGCACGGGCCACAGGGCACAGGCGCACAGCGCCAGTCCGGCACAGGCTACAGCCTACAGGAGGAGTACACTGTACACATAACACAGCCCACAGGCCCAGAAGAGGTCAGGAAGTGACCCACAAACAAACTCATAAACATGATATTTATCAACGAATCAACGTAATGGAATATTCGATTTGTTTTTGTATTTATTATATTGTAAAAAAAACAAGAAACAAAAGACAACAGAAAGGTAAACATTTTAGTCTTTGTACAGAGAGCGCTTCTCTTCTGTTCACGCCAAATATTTAATATTTACGTACAATTTTACTTCATAGGATACTCCTCTCCCTCAACCCTCCGATACCTATTTGTTTTTTCTTAATTAAATTTTTTAACAAATTCTCATAGCCTTCTAAAATGAACAAAATTCTGGGATTTGTTTTTGTTTTGGATTATAGTTTCAAACAAAACAAAAACAATTCATGTATTTACAAATGGGACTGTACATATATTTATGTATTTAAAAAAAACAACAAATATCTTCCGACAGGAGAGTGGAGACTAGGGCGAGACGTGGAGAGGCCCTGCGACGTGCCTGCTCCGAACCCCCGATATCCGGTCACTTTTAAAAATTAAAATATCGTCACTCCCATATTGGAAACGTATTGATCAGCTCAGGTATTGAGTATTAAACCTATATTGTTTATTTATTTAAAAAAATGTTTCAATTTAGGGTTTAGGGTTTTAACTAGCAAGGCTATTTTTTTAGTTTAAAAAAGACAAAATAAATATCAATTTGCATCTCTTTTTCACCGATTTTACGTAAACCTGTAAATAGCGCGCAGAGTAAAAATATGCCAAATCTATTTTTAGAGCGCTTTCGATAGACATACGAAAAGTTGCAGGCGTTAAAGTAGACATTCTCATTAATATCCCTGTAATTTGATTGACTACATTCCATGAATTAAGGCATGTGATCTCTGTTCCCAAAGTGGGCCCCGAGGGGGTAAATGTACTGATAGTGCCTTTTGAGACACTTTGTCTCAAAACAATCAAATTTGGAAATTTATAAACCAATAAAACCACACATATGGTATTTCATGACCATTCAAAATTTACAAATACTTGGTATACTAAGACGTTTAGAGTCATATACAAAGAAGAAACATGGTTGGCCATGAAACTAGCTCACCTAACTTTTGACGCATTGAACATGATATAATGATTATAGTTGAATACATAGCGAAAAAGTGATAAAAGATGTGTCTAATTTTCAGGAGGCTATGAAAAAGCATGGTGAAAATTCGCCCCCAAAAAACAAACAAACAATTACATACTCTCTATTTACTCGCTCTCTCTCTCGAGAAAAGAAATGAAAAATATGCCTGATCGGACTATAGGTCTATTGTCCGAAGGACCATATATCCCTGACTAAGTGAGAGTGTCAGACTCAGTCTCTCTACTATTCTACTCTCTCTCTTTCTCTAGAGAGTTAGAGGAGAGTAGTAGAGAGACACACTCAGCCCCAGGCTCCAGCGCTCTGATGACTCTGGCTGTCTGCAGATACTGTACTAGAGTAGTAGAGAGATAGTGCAGACTTCAGAAGTTCCGATTGACACTACTGTGGCGAGTTTGGCGACTGTGCAGAAGTTCAGAACTACTGAACTAGTAACTATAGACTGTACAATGTACATATCTATTGTGCAGAGTGCAGACTGCAGAGTGTAGAGGCCAGACTGCAGAGTGCAGAGTGCAGAGTACAGAGTGCAGAGTGCAGAGTGCAGAGTACAGAGTGCAGAGTGCAGAGTGCAGAGTACAGAGTACAGACTTAGCAGAGAGTCAGGGCGTGTAGAGTGTAGAGCAACGTGTAGACTGTAGTGACTAGTGAGTGACTGTATTACTGTAGTTTGTAGACTGTAGAGTGTCAAAATAGACTGCTCAGTGCTCACTGCCGCCTGACGCCTCACTGTTTTACTCACTGCTCACGCGATTCATGATTCATATATTTTTAAAAACAAACAAACAAAATACATCTGAATAATAAATGAAAAGACTCACGAGTCACGTCTCACGAGTCATCACTCATCACGGGCAACAGCCGACTACGGGACACGGCACTGACGGCAGTCATGTTTTATAAAAATACTTTTGATTTGATTGTTATTATTGATATTTTTTAAAAAAGACAAAAACAAACAAAAAGCAAAAAACAAAAACACTTTTTTTATAGCGTCTATTAGAATTCACTTTTGTTTTTGAAAAACAAATACCAAAAAAAAAACGAAAAACAGAACGAGATTTGTTAAGACTGCGACCACTATGACTGCGACCGGATCTGGTGACCACTATGCCTGCGACCGGGTCCTGCGACTAGTATGCCTGCGACTCTCGCCTGCGACCCGTTTTATGTCTGGCGCTTCTACTTGCGATTCTAGGGTTTTAGGGTTTTGGGGTTTTAGGAATATAAACAAATACATATATCATAGCCCCCTGAGAAAAAAGAGATTAGTTGTTGATTATTCAGGGGCTATGCAAATATACATATATATATATATATATATATATACATACATACATACATATATACATATATATATATATTTGTATATACATACATTAAAATATGTATATGCATGTAATGCATATACATACATAAACATTAACATATACATAAACATATACATATACATATACATAATACATAAACATATACTCATATACACATATACACATATACACATATGCAAATATACATATACATAAACATATATATATATATATATATATACTTATACATATTGCACACACACACACACACACACACA